ACCAAACAACCGGTCACTATGACATGCACTGACCACCAGGTGGCAGACATACAATGCAGGAGCTTCCCCATGGTGGTCAGTGCACTCCCACAATGGGAGCACCCCTCAGCTGACTGACAGCACCAGATGCAGGGCTCAAGGCTGGCAAGCACAGCTGTGGTGGCACGCGCCTCTCCCACCTCCATGACGGTGGCAGCAGCAGGCGCAGCAGAGTTGGGATGAACAGGAACGCAGGAACGATACTGCGCCCCGCCCCGCCCGAGCTCGGGCTCTTCCCCGGCCGCCTGCCACTTTGCACACAGGCATGGGGCCAAAACCGGCAGTCCAACATACCCCGAAGGGTCCGGATTGTGAGAGGGCACAGGTCAGGCTGAGGGACCCCACTGGTACACGAGCACCAGGCCTCTAGTTCAAACTATAAAAATTTAAAATAGCCACCAAGCAGACAAGAGAGATAAAATACATGCAATGAGTAAAGTTTCTGCATTTCACTCAAGGACCTATTTACTCTGATTTTACATTTAGAATTTCTTCTTACATTGGCTACAGTTCCTACATGCATTTTGTTTCTTATGCGAGAGAAGTGAAGAAGCAAGTTAAGAGTTGGAGCTGCCTGGCCAGCTTGGACCTATGAACCAGGAGGTCATGGTTCAATTTCCGGTCATGGCACATGCCTGGGTTGTGGGCTTGATCCCCATTGGGGAGGCAGCCTTGATGTATGTATCTCTCTCTCCCTCTCTCTCACTCTCCCTCTCTCTCCCTCTCCCCCCCGCACCTTCCTGTCTGAAATCAATAAAAATATATTTTTAAAAATAATAAAGTTGAAGGAGGTTCTAATCTAAAAATAAAAAAAAAGAGTTGGGGCCATCTACAGTCAGGCCCACTGGCAAGGCACACTGACAGACCTAGAAGCTAAGAGTCCTACTGGAGAAGAAAAATTATTTTTTAAAAACTATGTAAGTGCCCTGACCAGTTTGGCTCAGTGGATAGAGTGTCAGCCTGTGGACTAAAGGGTCCCAGGTTCGATTCCGGTCAAGGGCATGTACCTTGGTTGCAGGCACATCCCCAGTGAAGGGTGTGCAGGAGGCAGTTGATCGATGTTGCTAACTCTCTATCCCTCTCCTTTCCTCTCTGTAAAAAATCAATAAGATATATTTAAAAAGAAACTATGTAAGAACTCAAAACACAAAGCAGAATGGCTCTTTAGGCGTAGGGGTGAAACAAACTGTTACTGAGAACACCAGTGGCCCCTGAGAACAGTATGGTAAACACGTGTATGAACAGCACAGTGGTTTTGCTGCTTAGCTACAAGCAATTCAGCCTCACCTGTAAAGCCTGGATAATGCTTCCTTGCCCTACCCACCTTAAGGAGCTAAAAGTAATTTATGTAACAACGTCTAAACACTAATGTTGTTGAAATATGTTCTGTACACTCTGTTTGAGATGACAATACACTTAAACCAATTTCCATTTAAATGGCTAAATAAAAAATTAGCTCTTCTCTTACCACCAGAAAATCAACAAGGTACCATTTATCCCCTCTTGCCAAATGCCAGATTTTTAAAAAACTATGATCAAGATAAAGAGAAAAAGATTTCTAAAGCAAGAGAAAGAGTTTAGCTGCCCTTGGGAAACCAGATAGGTTATATAACAACTCTTCTGACAGGGAAGACATTTCAAAATGAGAAAGTATAAAACATTTGAAATGAATACCCATATCTGAAAGTATGACATGAAATATCATACCTATTATAGTTATAGAGCAATATTTTTCAAACGGAAGGTCATAGTCACTAGTGGATTATGAAGTCAATTTAGTGAATCACTACCAGCAATTGTTAATAGGATAGAAATATTAAAGTGCACTGCATGTAATATTTCATAGAATTTTGTTTTACTTAATATGCATTATTACCATGTGTATGTGTATACCAGTGCTGGGTCACAGTATAAATGGAGTTGTGGTCAAAACGTCTGAAATTCACTGATAAGCAAATCGATAAACTGGCGTATGGTGGTCTAGATAAAAACTAAACAAAAATTTTAAAGCACCTAGTACTCAGAGTGACGAGGAGGTGATAAGGACATACTGTATTCATAGCTGGGACGAGGCTGAAGAAGAGGGCATTATTTTTAAAAAGTCATCAAGCAGCCCAGCCCCTGTGTAGCTCAGCAGTTGGCACTGACCTAGGAACCAAGAGGTCACCACATGCCAGGGTTGAGGGCTCAATCCCCAGTAGGGGGTGTATAAGAGGAGCCAACCAATGATTCTCTCTCATCAATGTTTCTCTTTCCTTCTCCCTTCCTCCCTCTCTCTCTCTCTAAAAAAAATCAATAAAAACATATTTTTAAGTATAACGTTTAAAAAGTCATTAAGCATCAGTCTATGAAGTAGGAAAAAGATAATAGCTTTCATTCTAGGGATAAAACAGACAAATACAGGGAAGTAGATGTAAGAAACACACTGTCCTAGAACTTAGGAGAATCCGCCCTACAAAACCCTCTGACTTCAGTCCTCAATTTTCTCATCTGTAAAGTGAGAGGATTCAATTAGAAAATAAATGTCAAAATCCTATTCAACCTTAACATTCTCTGATTCTGGTAGAATTTATAATAATTAAGTCATGAAAGGAATATGTGGTTTATAACTCAGACCTTGTATTTAATAAATAAAATGTTATCTTTTAATAAAAAATTATATAACACCTTCTTAATAAATAATAGGTTTTTTACATAAAAGTCAAGGCACGCTGGCTAATGCCATATTTCAGCATCTCAGTTTTCTATACCCAAAAGGTCTAGATAGCTGGGTCAAAATACCTTCAGACAAATGTTACTATTCGTATAGAATAGTATTCATATAGAAAAGCATATAGAAAGGACCTTGAAGTAGTTATAATAACTGTATATATCTTTCTTGGTACCATGACCCATTTAAAAGTAGAATTTTTTAAAATCACAGTCATCACTGAGATACATATAAATGGTTAAACTCGACCACAATCAATAAATGTTTTATAGACTAAAAGATTAGACGCCCCTAACATTTATTTTTGTCTCCTTCCATGGTAGGAACAACCACTGTTGCTTAATCACTTACTGTGTAGGTAGAGGAACCAATTTGTTCCTTCATGTTTTCCCCGGTGATTACATCACCTCTTGGCCTGGACAAAGCTGCCCGTCCCAGTGTGTGTTGGTTCCTTAGTCTGCATGTTCATTGCTGGGAAGCCCTCCCCTAGTCTGTGCCCACTGCCTTACGCTGAGAGTCTGTTTCTGCAAGAACAGTGGTTGCAAGTTCTCAAATAAATAGAACACACAAAATTGATTCAGTACATACAACAGGATTGCCTTGATTGGGCACAGACTACCCATTATATCACAGGGAGGTGTTCATAGAAAGATGAGAATGTCACCGTGCGGATGTCACATTTGGGGCCACCTCTGAGACTAGATGGAATCTGTTCCACTTCTAAGCCCAAGATCTCTTTCAATTTAGGGGTGAAAAATGAGAGCAGAAAAAATGTACGAAATAGGACTGAAGAGAGATACTGTCAAAGGAATAAAAACAGATCAATAGACCAAGCCAATCAATCACGGACAACTATTTTGACTCTGGACACTATTATAAAACAGTCCTGAGGAAAAACACCAAAAAGAACTAAATCTGTACACACACACACACACACACACACACACAATGGTGTTTCATCATGCCATATTATTAATACAAAATGAGAAGAAGAGAGTGTAATATCTATTATCTGTTCTTTCTGCAAGTCCATATTACTCATTTCTCTCTTATCTTTGGACTGATATCTACTTCGTCAATCCAAGTGACCAGCGTGCAGAAACAGCAAATTCGGGCTTTGGTGAATTCACTTTTTACTGCACTTACTGGTCTTTTGCCAATCCTCACCTATTTTGAAATACATTCCAAGTACATTATCAGACATTAATTTTACCAAGTCCCATCCAAATAGCTGATTTTGACATTATATAATGTCTAAAATGGTGTTATCCTGACTTGTAAAACTCACTTTGGGCATTAGTGCTAATTAATGCATATTACTACTACTCAGTGAAAGGCTTGAATATGCATTTAAGGCTGAATAAGGCACAGGACTGAAAAATACACAGCAAAAAAATACACATGAGTAAGAGAGAATGAGTAAATCTCTATAAGTATTTTAAAATATGCACTAAGGGTAAATTGAAGCAGGGAAGATCCATTTGTGCTCTAAGGTCCTGGAGTCGGCAGTAAGGCTTTTAGAATCAACCATAAAAAAGGCAAGCACCACAGGGAAATAAAAGAAGGTTGAGGCTGGGAATAAACAGCAACCTGATGAAAGGAAGAGACAGACATGACTGTGTTGATGATTAATTGTTACTACTCCACCAAACAACACCGCTTCTTACAGGAAATGAATGGAAAATCGGACAATGCTACCCAGGCTGAACATGAGTGAAAAAATAAAACAATATAATGTCAGTCTGTGCAACTGGGATTTCTATACATAAGTTTTACTTATATAAAATATTTACTTACTATCATCTAAAATTTTGAAGCGGTTTTGGAATTTTTAATACATGAAAATATCCTTAAAAATTTTTGTGTAAAAATTCAAGGTAAGAATGAACTAGTATTGACACTATTTGAAAGTATAGTAGGATAATTTAGAATAAGAGTACTTCTGCTTTAGCCTTTGGTATAAAATTATCAATGAAAAAAAAAGACAGAGGTAAAACCAAAAAAATATTATAAATGGATTTTCTTTCTAAAATATAACATTTAAACTGACTTGAATAACTACAGCATTATATCAACTAAAGAGAGAAGTCAATAGACTAGCATTACACAGAAAAATAAAATAAAAGGCACACATAAAATATACAGAAGCAGGTTAAATGATACCTTCCTATAACATAATTTAAAAATAAACAAACAAACAAACAAACAAAACCCTCCACATAAGTTTATCCCTTTTCCTCAGTCAACTCACCCAACGTTTTCTGCATCTTCATCACACTCAGCTTTATATTTGCAAGGTCCACACTTGGAGTGTTTTCTGTGAACTTCTGCTCCTGACCCTTCCTCTTCTGTTTAAAAAGAAAAATTAAATTTTCAACCAAGATTTAGGATCCTTCCCAGGTATGCTTCATATTTCGCAGCAAATATTCTATTTCTGGGGGAAAGGTACCCCAGCTCTTAAAAACAATTACTTCCAAAATCTATTAACGATAAAGTCCAAGAAGGTTGCCAATACTGAGTACAACATATTCTGTGAGAAAAGCAAGTATTGGTGCTGTCAAAATAATCCGCTAAATTATGCACAAAGGAGCAATACAGTAGGTTTTAATAATTAGTTCCCTTTACAAGAATTACCATATAACATTATTTAAGAGAGAGGGAAAAAAACATGAGCAATAATTTTAGTCCAGTGATTACTCTATTGAAATTGCCTTTCTAACTACATAGCAACTAATTCCAGAGTTTTTAAAAAAATCCTCAAATTCCAAAAAGGAAAGGGCGTCACTTTACAAAGGATGTGCCCCTTTTTCTGCTTTGCCACTTAGCATAGCCAAAAACACCCAGAATACAGAAGTGTGTGGGAATCCCATGATTCATCTCAAAAAAAACAATAACTACCACCAGACCCCAATTCAGCTCACATCCCACATTTTAGGGAGCCCTATATTTCTGGGTCTCAATTTGAGTGGACCCTATCCTAATGATCTCAAACTGGACAGAGAGATTCATTTTGAGGCCAATTTACTCTTTACTCAAGGAATTTCCCAATCTGGTTTGGGAAAAAAAACACCTTATTCAAGGCATGTCAATCAGTAAAAAGGTATTAAAAGGAAAGTACCCAAACCTAAGGTGCCCTTTTGATAAAACTTCCAATTTTTAGTGTCTGCCTATATTTTAAGCCCAGATTCTCATGAACACTCCCAAACAGATTTCAGGGACCATAATCCTAAGTATATCTAAGGCCCAGAAACATCATGAGATCTAGAAATTACACAGTCACCTGGAGCTCGCATATTTTCGTGTATTAATCTGAGCAAACCTCTCAGCCTTTCAACTCAATTCAGTTTACATCCACAGGGCAAGACACCCAATATCTGTGATCAACTTCCATTTCTTCAATATAATAATGAGGACAGTTTCCTAATTAATGTCTGACCACATGGGCTAGACCACATGATCTCTTAAAATCCTTTCCAGCTCTAAGATCTGGAACTTATGACCTGACCTTTCACACATGATCATGAAGTTTCTGCTTAAATATGTCCATTTAAATGAAATTCTATTGTTCAACAGCTGTAATCACCTTTTTTTTTAAGCTGAAACTGTCATACCTGAACTTCTTCCTCAGGACAGTTCTTCTATTCTCTAGGTGACTTAAAATCCCTACCAAACGTAACATTTTAGGATTCTATGACATGCGTAAGTCTGGAGTAAGGTTTTAAATCGTGCTGAAAGGATCACACTATATTTGTTTCATCTGTGTAAGTGTGAACATTACCAGTGAGTTTTCTGTTAGTGTATCCCCATAGTACCTCAAACATTATTTTGTAGACAGTGGATATTCATTAAGAATCACAGCTTCATTAAACTCTGAGATAGATTAGTCACTCTTAATTCTGATCACCTAGAGTAAACTTCGTTATAGGCTGTTCCCAAACATTAGTTTTCTATAGCAGAAATAATTCATATATTTGCACAATAAAATTAAAGCCAAACAGGAACATTTTAATGGTTTAAATTAAACTTTAAATTCACCAGAGTTTGTTCCGTAAGTCTTCTCTTTGCTGTACACAACTCACGCTAGAGTTTTTGAAAACCTATACCCTGAAAATTCCTTGGGAGTAAAAATGTGTAAGCATGGGGTGCGAGAGTTACAAATACCCTGGTCCAAGCTAAAATCACTTGTGGGGGTGATCCTAGGAGAGGCAATCTGGAACAACCTCAGCTCAACAGGAGCTACATTTCCCCTTCATCTAACAACAAATCTTTAGTGAAAAAATAACTGCCTGAAACAAAGATGCCAGGCTAAGGGGGACAGAGGGACTGAGGGAGAGGAGGTTATGGCTAAGGGTGGGAGTTTTTCCTGGGTAATGAAAATGTTCTAAAATTGACTGTGTGATGTACAACTCTGTGAACATACCAAAAGCCACTGAATTGTACACTTTAAATGGGCAGACTGCATGGTATGTGAATTTTAGCTCAATAAAGCTATTTTACAAAGTGAAAGAAAACAAATGCCCTTCACAAGGTCCCTGAAACTTACCTCCTTCTCCAGATCCAGAGCCATTATCTGAGAGAGAAAAAGAAAAGAGTCGAGATGAACACCTTTCCTGGAAATTTCATCAAACAGGAATTTTCGTATCAAAAATCAAACTGCGATATCCACTCTCAGGTAGCCCTTTTCTCATTTTCTTTTTACTATCTACCACTTCATTCTTACATACCTATTTTGTACCTTTCTTTGGACACATAACCATCTATACCTCAGACGTCTTTGTAGCCCATTCAGGAAATATCCAGGGGCCTTGCACAGAGTACAGACCAATGAATATTGTATAGTAAATGGCTAAATAGAAAATATTTTAATGAACTCACTTAAAAGGCAGAAGGAAACTTTGGTTTTGCTAAAGCGTGAGAGAAATAAGGAAGAAGCTGTTTTTATGAGAAAGGGAGAGAAAGAGCGTTGGGTCTTGCTCCAAATATCTTCTTAATGAAATCTGTGGCTAAAACCCCAAAGCCAAAAGGTTAAGAAACGCCCCAAGGTTCAGAAGGAAAAAAAACCTCAGGGTTACGGTTTTCATATTCTTGATGAAATTCACTTCCTCTAGGAAATGTAACCAGAAGGAATCTCACCAAGATGTAGGTGGGAGACTTGTTACTAGTGAAACGAAAAAGCCTCCCTCAAAGTTACCAGCAAGAAGCCAGGCTACAACGTAATGAATGTAAAATACTGATTTTATAATCCTAAGAGAGCCAACATATGGCACAGAGCACGCTGGATAGAGAGTCATGCTGCAGGATCATCGGCACCCAGCAGTAAAATAGCAGGAACGGCCTGTAAAGAGCCTCCCACTTTATCAGCACTCTGCAGGGGTGGGTATACTGGGGAACCCACCAGCTCTCCAAACAGTTCTCTAGCGTGGGAGACAACACCTATAACAACACTGCTGCTTCTCTTCCAGCTCCTTCAGACAGTAATCGAATCCCCAGATCGGGCAGAAATTGGAAAAACATTTTCTATGTAGTGCCCACTGCAAAATCTTCATGGGGTTTTATGGAAAGTCTTCGATTGCGTTCAATTTTGATCAGCCAAAAAAAAATATATATATATACATCTTCTCTAAGTAATAAGGAAAATAAGGAGTGAAAGCAGGAAAAAAAAGAGAAGAGGGGAACTCAATTTAAAATAGTTTTTATGACCAAAATTTTCTCAGGAAAACACTCCTTTTTTCTTCTATCCCACACTGATTGGGTACATATAATATATGCTAGACAACATGGTAAATGTGAGGAATAAATTGATAAATAAGGCAGTCCCAGCCGATGAGATACTTAATCACTGCCAATCTTTTTACAACCCATGTCCAAGTTAAAAAATAAAATATCTAATACCTTCTTTTAGTGTTATTTAGAATTCCCCAATAAATTAAATATCGTTATAACTGCAGAGCCAGTTCAAACTGGTCTTATCCTGTGTCTAACCAGATACCGAGTTGGTTTTTCAAAAACAACAGAACAAATCTATGTCCTGCAGCCGTAGCACATTCAGAGGAGAGAATTCTGACCAATAAAACAGGAACCAAAGTTTCACATTCCCTGCCCCTTCCCCAACCAAAGAGCTGAGACTGGACCTGAACTCAATCATGGGAATCCTTTCAGAAGCAAAGGGTCCAGGAAGATCCAGTGCTTAAAGCCCTCCAATTGAAACCTGCCCCTCCTACCCTAACCCATTAACTTCCAACCCAAACCCTCAATGGGGAGACAGATTTGAGCCTTGCCTCCTTGCCCGTGGACATGCCAATAAAGCCTTTTCTTTTCTCAAAAGCCAATGTCTTGTACTGGCTTCTGTGCACGGGCAGCAAGCCACTGCTTGGGAGCATCATGACTACTCTGCTAATGAGGACGAACTCTGTATTTTCACTGTACACACACCTTCCCCAGCCCACACAACTCCACCCATCCCTAGGATTATGATGTGCCTCCCTAGGCAGGGCATACTGCCTTCCAGTTGAGAAACAACTGACCTGGCTAGAAACAGATATGTCCGATAAATGAAATACAGTGAGGCTTGTGCACAAAGTGTGAACAAACACTGCCGGGAGATGGCATGGAAGAAAGATTTCAAAGAGGAGCAAAGGCTTAACCTCGATCTTAAATCATTAAGAGTTTTTAAGTAAACAAAAGAAAATGCTATTTTTAGCACAGGGAATAGGACCAATCAAAGAGCAAAGGACAAGAATAACACTGGCCCGTCCAGCAAACAACAACATTGATATAGTACCTTAGAGCTGAGCTCATTCAGTCCTCATTTAAGTACCCCAAGAGGCGATACGCACTTCACGATTTGAAACTCCGAGTTTGGTTAAGGGGCTTGTCCAAGTCATACAGTGAATAAGAGCTGGAGCTACTTCAAAGGCAGGTTTTTTAACCCTTATGTGGTGCTCTTTCCAAGTTACCACTCTGCCTTCTAATGTTTAACATTCACTGCTTATTAAAGCATTTGGTGTCTTAAATACATACTCTTCACAAATAATGCACGATTAATTGGGGACTGTAGAGAACTCCATATTACTTTATGGTCTCTAAATTAGGTATTTGAAATACAACATATAAAAGAATCATACCAAATGATAGTTAACTGGCCTAAGAACATAATAATTTCACCAAGCACCTAATGATTTAGTGTCTGGAAAAGAATTTGGCCTTGCCCAAAGAGATGTCTGGCCTCTGTCCTCAGCTTCTGGAAGGTCATCTATGTCATACCTTCTAGAAGTGTCTTTTTTAGGAAAGGTACTGACCACATCAGATCTTAGGGTGTGACCTGCCACATTCAATAGTCTTTGGGTTAAAGACCAACCATGTAATTTAAAGTGGGGGCTTTGGAGTTTAAAATCAACCACATGGACAATCAATCAATCATGCTTATGTAATGGAGGCCCAATAATAACTCTGAACATAGGCACTGTAATAAGTTCTCTATCTTTACTGCTAACCTTCATACAATAATTCTAATTACAATACCTTACCTTCATCACTGCCCCCAAATACAAATGCAAGTAGGAAACTTACATTAATGCTTTCCAAAATAAACCACCATCCATTCAGGAAGGAAGTAAATATAAACAAGTGGGAGGAGGTGGGTGACGAGGGTTGACAGACAGAAAAAAGAAGACAGGAAAAGAGCAGCTTGGAAATAGACACATCCTGGGAGGCCACTAATGGCTTTCTCTGAATATTCCCCACCCCTTCCTCCCACCAAAAAATAAAAATCAACAAAATGGGGCTCATATCATGTCCCACCCCAGATCTTATTCTAATAGTCAAACCACAGGTGAAAGAAATGCCAAGTCCCCACAAAAAAAGGCATTAAGCATCAAAAGAATACTGAGAAGCCCAGCTGGGTGTGGCTCAGCAGTTGAGCATCGGCCCAGGAACCAAGAGGTCATGGGTTTGATTCTTGGTTGTGGGCTCGATCCCCAGTGGGGGGCATGCAGGAGGCAGCCAATCAATGATTCTCTCTCATCGGGCGTGCAGGAGGCAGCCCATCCATGTTTCTCTCTCATCATTGATATGTTTCTCTCTCTTGCCCTCTCCCTTCCTCTCTGACATCAATAAAAATATATATTAAAAAAAAGTATACTGTTGATTCATGACCACTGGGGGTTAAAAAAAATGATATGGAGGAAAAGAGCCCCCTACTCCCTACACAATCCCCACCAATCCATATGGCAGTTCTGGGAATACACCTCTGACTGCAAACTTCCTTTTAGAAAATATGGCAGAACCATTTCTTGCATTTACTCAAAAGAATATCACAACATACCAGAGTAGCATGGTCCTCTTGCTACCACTGTTATCTCTTTCTGGTGCTTACAAGCAGCTCTTCTGAGAAAGCATTCATTTTGATATGTGTCCCCATTTGATGCACAGACAGGAATGTAATTTGTATGGCACTACAAAACAAACAAAAATAAGTATCAGAAATAGGCATGAATATTAATAGTTTATTTCGTATTCCCGAGTGCAATACCATAGCAGTATGACACACTTCTAACTACAGAATAGTTTTTGTCTTTTATTTGGTTTAAAAAAAGAGTTAGACTACTTTCTCCTACCTTTCGCATATTCATAATGAAAAGAACTATTAACCACCCATAAAAATAAGAATGAAAATCCCTTTCCTATCTACTTTATATGCTTGCTATAAAGATCCAGTGAGATAATTTAAGAGGAAATTGCTGGCAATGTTTATAATGAGTGCTAAAAATTAAATGTCTTTTTATTACGATCAAAATTCATTTATTCAATACCCGTGGTACAGTCCCAAGGTAAATGCTAGATGACACAAAGAAATACATGATCTTTGTTCTGAGAACTTTCCATCATGTTAAAGCGCCATACAAATAGGAAATATATAATATATAATATATGAAAGCATGTACTAAATCAAAAGAGTAGACAATAAGTGCAATATCTAATACCTACTACTGTAAGCTAGAGTATTCAAGAAAAGCCTTCTCAGAGAAAGCGAAATGTGAACTGGGCCTTGAAGAATGAGTAGAAATAAGACAGGTGAAGAAATGACACAAGACCTGTATGTTTTAAACAATTTAAAACTTCTATATGTCAAAAATGTCACAAACAACAAAGTCTTAAAATCTGGAGAAAATATATGACACAAGTTATTATCATTGCTAAAAAAAAGAGATTATATAAATTAATAAAAAATGGACAAAAAACAAATTTACAGAACAATTACAAATGGCCAATTAAAATACAAAAAATGCTGACCTTCACTAGTAATCAATAAAATGAGATACTACTTTTAGCTTACAGAGCTGGCTATTAAACAAACAAAAACTTCATCTTGATGGGCGAGAACATAATTTAACAACACATTTCAAGAGTCTTGAAAAACGAATGCAGTTTCTGATCCAGAATTATATATTTAGGGATCTGTCTGAAGGAAACAATTATAGGCAAAAGTTTATTATAGCCCATGTCAATATTTTTTCAATTATAGTTAATATGATTTTGTATCAGTTTCAGGTGTACAGCATAGTGGTTAGGTAATCACACACATACTTTACAAAGTGTTTCCCCCGAGCCCAGCTGGCATGGCAGGTAGTTGCCCACTGACCTATGAGCCAGGAGGTAAGGGTTCGAATCGTCCCAGTCAGCGCACAGGCCCAGGTTGCAGGCTCAATCCACACTGTGGGGTGTACAGGAGGCAGCTGATGGATTATTCTCTCTCATCATTGATGTTTCTACCTTTCTCTCCCTCTCCCTTCATCGCTGAAATATATATACATACACACACACACACACACAATTTTTAAAGTGTTTCCCCCGATACTACCAGTACTCACCTGTCACCATACATAGTTATTACAATATTGACTATATTCCCTATGCTGTACCTTACATTCCTGACTATTTTGTAACTACCTATTTGTACTTCTTAATCCCTTCACCTTTTTCACCCAGTCCCCCAAGCCATCTCCCTCTGACAATCATCCAATCCTTCTAGGTATATATGAGTTTGTTCAAATTTCAAACAAAAATGTATTAGTATAAAAAAATGTAAAAACAATATCAAGCATGTTATATCTGTTCAAGTAATTAATATTACAGTCACTGAGAATTACCTTTTAAAAGAATACTGGGTGGCAGATAAAGGTAACATATTGTTAGATGTAAAACAGGCAACAATACCACATATATAAACTTCTGAGAATTCTGTGCCATTTTAAATGTATTATTTAGTTCACAAAACTAAATGCAACTTTGAAAATGATATAAGTAAAAATACAGCAAGAAAATTATATATATATATATATATATATATATACTCAATTACTTAGAAAAATAAACATTCATAAAGTATATCCTGGAACAAAACATCAGTAAGTTTTTCAGATTACTTGTCATGGTTTTTTATTGCTATTATTTTGTGTTTTCCTCAATTTTTCTCCAATGCACAAGATTTATTTTTATCATTTGTTTACTCTTAAATATGACATGCTACCACAAGTCAAGCACTGGTAAAAACAATCTCTAATAAAATATTTTATGAGCAAGTTTGCATGCTATCCATTATCAGCAGACTCCTACAATAACTTCAATTAAAATTAAAGTTTTACTTTATTGCTCCAATATTCATGAATCATATCCCTCTATTCTCTTCCCCTAAATTGTACATAATAACTTGTATGATGTCTGCAGGAGTCAATATTTTTTTGTAATTAAACAATGCATAATTGGAAAAGGAGATCATGAGCTCCAAGATGTCAAGGGCTAACTCTATGAACTTTTCAACCAACTCTTTGCTCAACAAATGCTTACTGACTTTTTAATGGTGTGCTCTCAAAGGTGTTAATAGCGCTCCCTAGGCATAGCTGTCCCTATGAACGAATTTTGGTTGTTAGAATGATACTGTCATTTAGCAGAAAGGTTTTTTGGTTGTTACAATGATAAAGAGCATTACTGTCATTTAGCAGATGGATTCCATGGATGCTAGCTAGATGTATGTCCTGCAAAGGAAAAAACAGTACCACACAACAAAGACACACACACTATACAATTTCTGAATGCTTCTCTAGCCATTCATATGGGAACTATGGCAAGACTTACTATAGATAAGTAAGGCTGCTCTGCTATAACTTATCCTAATATTAGTTTTTATTCTAGCATCCACCATACCTCTACATTTTTGTCTTTAGATATTTCTGCTATAAAATTGCACTAATCTTTAGTAAATGAAAACATTCATTACAAGTAGATAGATATAAGCATGTGACTACTGTATTTTCTTCTACTGTAATCATGCCCAAGCATTTACATGTTGAATAATTTATAGTAGGATAATTTATTTTACTATAAATTTTTTATTTCTCCTTTACATTGCAATTATATATTATATTGATTTCTTTAATTATGTGTTTATGTAGGTTGCATTATCTATGAATTTCATTAAAGAATAGTAAAGAAACAGAATACAAATTATTGGTTATAAAAAAGGGTCATTAAGTCTGATAGGGCTGAAAATCTCTAAGGCAATAGCAAACACTTATTCAAGAGTTTACATCTAGTCAACACCAGTGACAAGTTATGTCCTAGCTAACTTAAATATCGTAACAATCCTGTGAAGCACATGACTTAGTGCTTAGAGCCTGGGCTCTCAAGTAAGTGTTGAGTTCCAATCCTGGGTCCACCATCTATGTGACTATGGGCTAACACCAGTGCCATTTTCCCCACCTGGAAAATGGTAATTATAATAATATCTATCTAATAAAGATGTTATGAAGATTAAATAAAAGATATTCATCTTTAGCATTTATATCTGGCCACAGTAAATTCTCAATAAACATTAGCTGGTTTGGGTATTGCTATTATCATTTCTGACTCTTAAGTAGGCCCAGGGTCATAGCTAATAAGTGGAAGACCTCATTTCCTCACAATTGATATACTCTAACCACTACACAAGTCATATGTCACCTGGTGGTAGCAACAGAGGACTTAACATAGCCTGAGCAATGTCCCTCAAATTCAACCTAGCAAGCTCATACCTAGGAGTGAGCATAGGATAGGAGAAGTAGACCAGCTATTCCTTGGTCAGTCCATTTCCAAGGGTCTTTCTTAGGAACCTCTCCTTATGCTATGGGCAAATTAAGGGATGTGGGCAATTTTCACATGGCAACTCCTGACTTAGGCACTGACTCTAGCCTAAGGTCTGCCTCCTCTACACCACCTCCCTTACTGGGGAAAAGAACTCTCCATTATACCTTCTCTTGAGCAGGAAGTGTTTTGAAGTAGTTTAGAAAATAAGAAAGTAATAATGGTGTGATGGTTGATTTAGTGGGTCAGTTGACTGGAACCTAGGTTGCCCAGATTAAACACTATTTCTGGATGTGTCTGTGAGTGTGTTTCTAGATGAGATTCACAGTTGAATCAGCAAACTAAGTGCCCTCCCCATTATAGGTGGGATCATCCAACCCACTGAGGGCCTGACTAGAATGACATAGTGGAGGAAGAAAGAATTCCCTCTCTCTGCCTATCGAATGGGAACATGGGTTAGTCTTCTGGTTCTCGGGTGTCTGACTCAGACTGAGACTTACATTATCGGCTCACCTGCTTCTCAGATCTTCAGACTTGGACTGGAACAAAGAGGAAGAAAGAAAGCAGGGAACACATCATAGGCACTCCTCTTCATATATTACCCAAGTTTTAATGGAAAGATGCAGTAGTGATCATTTCTCTTTTTACCAAATTAATAAAAGCAGCTTGTGTACATAATGTGGCAAAATATCATAGCTCTTATTTGTAGACAAAAAAAAAAAAATTAGACTTTATTTAAAATCCTGTTATTTTTTGTTACAATGATATCCCTGAAAGCTTATATTAACACTGAAAGCATGCTAAATCATAACCAAGTTTTTTTAATGAATTGAAAGATATAGCTAAAGCACCCTCATATGTTCAACTGGCTTATGAGGTCGTTGTTCTTAAACTAGCAAGAGTCTAAGTCATTTATAAGCTTATAAGAAGGCAGAGTCGTAGTCAAAGGAAGGTTCGCCCAGCAGCAGGATCAAATCAGCTGTAAGCCCTTAGGCAGTTTGCTCCTACAAGGCAAGGAACCTTAAACATCCTTATATCCTCAGCATCTAGCCTAGCACACAGCACAAAGCAAGCACTGGGTAAATGTCTACTGCTCTCAACTCCTAACTTTTATTTCCCTTTCCTTCTTTGCCACCAGTAAGAATGCAAGGGATTCAGGGAGATGATGAGAGGATTTTCTAGCTGTTCAAGTTTGTTTAAAAGGTCAAAAACACTGTCTTTAAGAGTTGCAGGGAAAGACTTTCAAAGAATGAACATCACAATCATCAAGACAAAAATAGACAAATATGATGTGAAAATTTAATACTATCAAAAATGAAAATGACAACAGGATAACTTCTTTAAAATACAGAGTTCTAATCTAAATGGAAAAGGAACGATCTCTAAGGTAAACCTACTAAGTGATTTAGTGCTTAAAAGAGAAATTAGGCAGTGCCCTGGGTGGTCCTGTAACCATCTCTTGCTTCAACAGTGTTTGGACAGAACAGACCCAGGGACGCCCCTTCTTCCAGCCTCTGGCTACTCTCCCTGCGTCTTATCCAGTCACCACCTTCAGAACCGCCTCCAGAACCACCTCCAGGACCAGCCAACACACCGTTTTGTGTGTTTTTTTTATAACTTCACTCCTTACTGCTGAACAGCCATGTGCTCCCAAATTCGTCAGAATTATTCCACCAAGGCAGAGGCTGCGGTCAACCGCCTGGCCAACCCGCATCTGCGGGCCTCACACACCTACCTCTCTCTGGGCTTCTATTTCGACTATGAGATGTGGCTCTGGAGGGCGCGGGCTGCTTCTTCCATGAGTTGGCAGAGAAGCGCGAGGGCGCTGAGCGTCTCTTAAAAGTTGCAAAACCAGCGCAGTGGCCACATTCTCTTCCAGGACGTGCTGAAGCCTCCCCAGATGAGTGCGCAAAACTCAGGGCCATGGACGCCGCCCTGGCCTTGGAGAGGAACCTGAAACAGGCTCTTTTGGAGCTGCTGGCCCTGGGTTCTACCCGCACACCTCACCTCCGTGACTTCCCGGAGAACCACTTCCGGGTGAAGAGGTGAAACTCATCAAGAAGGTGGGCGACCACCTGGTTCACATTTGCAGGCCGGCCGGCCCCCAGGCTGGGCTGGGCGAGTATCTCCTGGAAAGGCTCACCCTCAAGCACGAAGAGGCGGCTTTGGAGTCCAGAGGCCTTAGAGGGGCCCCTCTGTATCCCTTGGTGTCTGCTTTTACCTGAGCCTCTCCCCAAACTACTAGCCATTCTTTACCACCATGAAGCCCTCTCTCATGCGTTGGACCAAATGAAATAATAAAGCTTTTTGCAGAAGAAAAAAAAAAAGAAAGAAAGGACACATTTGTATAAGACAGACTATTTCTAGAAGGAAATATAAGAAGTAATAGATGTTGCCTCTGAGAAGAGCAATTGGTAGTCTGGAATGGAAGGAAGACATTTTTCTTTATAGCATCTACTAGAGCAGTGGTTCTCAACCTGTGGGTCGTGACCCCTTTGGGGGTCGAATGACCCTTTCACCTAAGACCATCGGAAAACACATATATAATTACACATATTGTTTACAGTAGCAAAATTACAGTTATGAAGTAGCAACGAAAATAATTTTATGGTTGGGGGTCATCACAACATGAGGAACTGTATTAAAGGGTCGTGGCATTAGGAAGGTTGAGAACAACTGTACTAGAGGCCTGGTGCACAAATTCATGCACAGGTGGGGTACCTCGGCCTGGCTGGTGATCGGGGCGATCAGGGCCATCTCACCCAGTCCCAATTGGAGCCGATGGGGGCTGGCTGACAGGGGAGGGATGCAGCAAGCTAACCTACTGGTCAGATCATCTGCCATATATATAATGTTCAGAACAGTTAATGAATAAAATGCTCAGCACAGTAAACAATATATAAGTGCTCAAATAATGTATTATATATCATGTACACACACATACATATATATGTACGAAACAGTTGTATACAACACATATATACACACATATATATATATATAAATATATCTCTACAAGCCATTATAAGAGAAAAAGAAAATACTTCCCACAATAGGCAAAGAATATGAAATATTAATTCATAAAAAAGTAGCCAGTAAATATTAAACATTTTTAATAGCTCTAGTTATCAAATAAAAATTAAAATGATTTTGTCTTTCAGATTTATAAAATGTAAAAGGACTTCAAAATCTACTACCCACAAGCCCAGGAGAAATAAGCGGTCTAATATATTGCTGTTGGTGAAAATGTTAATCTGCACATAAGCAGCCCATTCACCCAACAATTCCACATCAAGGAATTTATCTAAGGAAATTATAAGACAATTGAAAGAGAGAAACAGTCCCAGTCTTCTTGATACAGGGTAGCTAAAACACTAATAAATAAAAAAAAACTACAATCTTTCTGGGTTGCAGAACCAGAGGTCAGAGTTCAGGGCAACTGAAAAGCGAGAGAGAAAATACCTGAAAGGAGAATCAGAGGGAAGTCCAGCTTCTGTATACAAACTCAGACCAAATTTCTGGCTGACTTCGAACCACTCATGGGGCATATTCCAAGCCGCCAAGCTAAGGCTAAAAAAAAAGGAACTGATTTTTGTGTTGCTGCCATAACAGGGAAAACAAGATTTTGCCATGTGAGTTCAGCCAATTCAACTGTTTCATCAATGAAACAGTGGGTATGATTAGAACAAGATTATGATTGGGGGAAAAAATTCTAGCTCCTTCTTTGTCTCATCTGAAATCCTGAATCAGGAATCATCTTGTGAGCAACATACAAAAAACAGATTGTAATTCAATCATATCAAATGAACAAAAAGAAACAACTGAGCGTAACACATTTTGCTTCCTTTCTTTTTTAAAAATATATTTTTATTGATTTTAGAGAGGAAGGGAGGGAGAGAGAAAGAGAGAGAGAGAGAGAGAGAGAGAGAGAGAGAGAGATATGATGTATAAAAAGCTCACACACACACACACACACACACACACACACACGGGGGAGGGGAGGTCAAAGTAAATTTACAATTGTGGGTACGTGAAACAGAGTTTATTCTTGTTATTATGTGTTGAGAACAACTGTACTAGAGGCCTGGTGCACAAATTCATGCACAGGTGGGGTACCTCGGCCTGGCTGGTGATCGGGGCGATCAGGGCCATCTCACCCAGTCCCAATTGGAGCCGATGGGGGCTGGCTGACAGGGGAGGGATGCAGCAAGCTAACCTACTGGTCAGATCATCTGCCCCCTGGTGGTCAGTGCACATCATAGCAACTGGCTGACTGATTGGTCAGACATTTAGCATATTGCACTTTTATTACATGGGATAGGATATTCTTAAATATTGTTCAAGTTGTTTACTATGAGCATATAGTATTACTCTTTTAAAAATATCAAAACAGTACCTATATGTAGATTCTCATGAGATTTTACAAGCTTTTATATATATATATTATATATT